ACAAGAGGGCATCAATAACATTATATACAAGGTTTTGTGCCCATGAAAACAAAGCATAAGAAATTGTTGAGAAAGGATTCAAGGAACTGGTCCTTCAGCTCCTGGCAGACATCACATTGTGAGAACTCTGAACGGGCTCGGAACTTCATGACCAGTGTCCACTTTGAGTTCCAGCACCGTAGAAACGTAACATACCTAATGTCAAACAGGCTTTCATGTTGCTTGCTTCCGCAGATGGCCAAAGCAAAGCAAAAAATGTTCCAATTCAATTCCAAATCACGACGCTTTTTGTTCAATCTCATGTGCAGAGCACCACCCAAGGTAGAACTGGAACAGCTCAAACAGTGTTCCAGCTGGCAAGTACTTCCGTGCCATGTTCGATAGATCCTTTGGGTGTGTATGTGATTGTTTGGGAAGGGCTTTACAAATAGAGAGATATCAGAGATATCCCAGATTTAGTCCAAAAAGAATCACTGGAAAAATCTCACCCATCTCCAAGAGTCTGACAAAGCACCAGTGGAATTCATAGCCAGCAAAAAACTAGTGTTTGACTGGAGGTATTCGACAAGCTCGTTGTCGTCTGGTTCAAAGTCCGAGGGTGTTACGTAATCATCATCACTGTCATCTTTTTCTTCTTTCACAACCGTGTATCGCCTCGCAGGCCCAACTCGAACCAGCCTTGCAGGGTCAGTGTTGATGTTGTTTTGAAAAGACAATGTTTTCTATTAGGCAGGCAGAACCCTTGCCTGTTTGGCAGGGGTTCAGCGATGCTGTTGTAGAGGACGAGGCAAAAGCTATCAACAGACGCCGTGCGGACAGATGCTTTGCTATTAGCTCGTGCACCAAACCTCATGTCAATGGCGCCCAACTTGTCCAATCTGTGTGATGACACCCCCAGCAACGCTTGCAGACATACACGACGTACATACTTGTCCAAGAAGTAAAACTCTCGCCGACAGGCCTGGTTTTTTCCCAATTTTGGATTCACTGGCATCGTTCCAGGCCAGGAACATGATGGTATCTTGCTCCAATTTGGTCCTGCTCTCAAACAAGTCCAAAAACTGTTTCACGTCCTTCTCCTGAAACTGGCTGAAGCAGCCCCCATCAGCACACTTGCATTTGCTGCCCAGCAGACTGCGGATCCGGTCCTCATTTCAACACTTTTACCCGTTTGAAATGGGGCACTATGGGCACATCCGTATGCATGTAAGAAAGAATCCAGTCATGTTTGTAATGCAGTCATGTCTGTAAGAATTCAGTTGTGTAACTACATGGCATTCATAAACGTACATTGGTCTATCAAGAGGTAGATAGTCAAATAGATGGGAGGCAGAGACCCACAGGCTAGAAACAAAAAACACACAGGAAGATGCAATGATTATTTTGCTCTTCCATTTTCTCTTCCTTTCTTCCTTCCTCCTTCTCTTTCTCACTGTTTCTACCTTCTCTCTGTTTCTTTCTCTCGACTACCTCTCTCTTTCTTTGCCTCTTTTCTTTTTGGCTCTATCTCTCTCTCTCTCTCTTTCTCTCTCGCTCTCTTTTCTCGTTTCTTTCATTGTTTGTTGTTCATTCACTCTTTACCTGTGTCTCTTTATCTCTATCTCTCAACTCACTCCCTCTTTCTCCTATATCTCTCTCGTTTTTTCTGTTCTATTTCTGTTGCTCCAAGTTGAATCACATGTCATGAGTGGATGAGTCTCTGGCTAATGAGTGGATGGATGTATATGGATAACTAAAGTACATTAATACACATACATGATGCTGTCCACACATGTATTGTTATATGTATATATGCAACTCCGATGCTACCTCTATTCATCCCGAGTTTCAGAAATGACACCCGGCAAGAATGAGGTGATAAAATGTTGTAAATCTTTGTTCAAGAGTCCTAGCTGTTTCTTGCAAGTCGAGTTGTCGCAGGTTCATTCTCTGGTAGCTGCTTTGCTGCTGCTGCTTTTGCAGCACGTTTTGCGTTGTTGTACTTTCTCTTCTTTTTCACAGGCTCTGCGTGTTCTTTTTGTCCAGCCCTGCAAAGCTGGGAATCCAAGAACTTTGTCAAAGCAGCAAAGTTGAGATTGACTTTCTGGGTTGAAGTCTTCGGCTCATCTTCATAGTCGGCTAGGTGACCTGATGAGTCTGAATCTGACTCTGAGACAGGTCCATCTAACTCATCTTGAAAAAGTTGGGCTTGTCCACTCGGTAGGGATGGTGGCTGAACAGGTAGTGCCACCACAGGCTCA